CTTCTCCATCTTGGCCTCCAGTGCAGGACTGCTAGGGTGCATCTTTATCCCAAAGTGCTACATTATTCTCCTAAGACCTGACAAGAACTCTTTGAAATGCTTCAAAAATAAAACAAAATATAGACAAAACCGATTAATTTGATGAATTAAGTATCTCTCATAAAATCCCTTAGTAAAGTGAAATTAGTTACCTATTTTATAGCAAGTTTTTTCTGAAATGTATATTTAAAAAAATAAAAGATCCCCCCTTTGTGTCATATATACTCTACCTCAGATGTAAATAATTGATGAAAACACCTTCTAATAAGTTATACATGTTACATATTAACTTCTAGCCCATATAAATATTCCAATTCAATTGCATGACAGTAGCTGAAATAAGTAATACATAAACTAAATGTTTTTAATTTTAGTCTTTTAATTTTTTGGAGTAAAGCATAGCTTTGTGTGCTAATTTAGATACTTCCGTAGAGCAAGCAAAGAACTTTCCCTCTGCTAAAGGATCTTGCAAACACATCCAATAACTCCAGAAATATGGTGAAGAATTCTCAAAAAACTAAAGATAAATCTTACTGTTCCTTGACATATGCACAAAGGAATTGACATCTTCCTCCTGAGATACTTGCTTAGCCATTCTCATTGCTTTTCTTTAATGATATATAGGAAATGGAAACACCTCAATGTCCTTCAGTGGATAAATGGATAATGAAAATGTTGTACACATAAATGGGTAGAGATAGAAAAATATATGTTGAGTTAAGTAACCCATACCCAGAAAGACAAATGACACATATTCTCTCTATTCTAAGGCATCTAGTTACAATCTTTAGATGTGAGGATTCACCCTGAGATAAGTGTAGAAACCATGAGAGGGTAGGGAAGCAATGGAGGGTAGAATATCAAGGTAGAAGTGATTTGATTTGGGAAATGGGTAAAAGGGAGTACTCAAATTGTGAATAATGTAGTGATTCATCACGAACTTCTAAATACATTGTTAATCATAAACATGAATAATATTGAAACTTGAAATAAGGAAGTAGGTTTAATAACTGTAAGGTATATCTGAAAAATCATAATCAAGTATACTATGAACTGTCTCTCTAAATATATCCATAATATATATAACTACATGCATAAGTATGCAAGTGTAAAATTTAAAGGGAAAATCTACAACCAATACTTTATTTTATTTATTTACTTATATTTATTAGCTCAAATTCAGAACAAACTTGATTCACATGTCAATCCCTTCTCCCTCTCCCCTCCTATCCCAACCCGACATACCCCCACCCCATCCACTCCCCAGGCATGGTAGGGCCCAATGGGGGCTCCACAAAGTCTGTCCCGCGCTAACCGCCTCACCAGCAAAAAGGACACGGGGACACTCCTCAGGATCCTTCTGCAGTAAAGCTTTAATGCCTCTTGAGAGGAAAGGCATAAGCTTACAAAATGGAGACCCTGAACGCCCGAAAACCCCTCCTTATATAGGCTGGCAACCGTCGCCTCAGGAGTGTTACATTCTGACTGGCTGAAACCCTCGGACCATGTGACGTCAGCTGATCGAACCATATGACGTCATGGGAGGGGCGGAGACTAAGGGCAGGAAAGTTACAAAGTTACCCATTGCGCATGCGCACAGCTTCCAATGGCTCCTTACATACGCACCGGCTCCTAACACACAAAGTCCACCACATCATCCTGGGCTGGGCCTAGGATGGGCCCTTACCCAAGTGTCCAGTGTAAGAGTACATCCCTTCACATGGGATGGACTCTCAAAATAGCTTCTTACACCAGGGAAAACTACTAATCCACTACCAGAGGCCTCCTAGAATGCTGAGGCCTCCTCATTGACATTCATGTTCAGGGGTCTGGATCAGTCCTGTACTGGCCTCTCAGACAGCATCTGGGGTCGATGTGTTCCCACTTGTTAAGGCCAGCTGTCTGTGGGTTTCTCCAACCTGGCAACAACCCTTCAATCTTCATTCCTCCCTCTCTGCAACTAAGTTCTAGAGTTCAGATCAGTGTATATCTGTGGATGTCTGTCTCTGCTTCCATCAGCCACTGGATGAGGGCCCTTGGATGGCATAAAAAGTAATCGTAATTCTCATTTTAGGGGAAGGGCGTTTAGGATATCCTCTCCACCCTAGCCTGGATTGTCAGTTCGTGTCATCCTTGTATGTCTCTGGAAATCTCCCTAGTGCCAGATCTCTCTTCGGACCTATAATGGCTCCCTCTGATATGGTATCTCTCATCCTGCTCTCTCTCCTCTATTCTTCCCCCAACTCAATATTTCTACTCCTCCATTTCCTCCTCTCCTCTCCTCTTCTCCTCCTCTCATTCTGGCAGCTCCCTCTCACCTACCCTCATGCTCCCAATTAGCTCAGGAGTTCCTGCCCCTTCCCAATTCTGGGGTCCATGCAGTTATCCTTAGAGTCCTTTATTTTTCCAAGTTTTTTTGATGAAGAGGATTATAATCTGGTAATCCTTTGCTCTATGTATAAAATTCATATATGAGTGAGTACATACCATGTTTGTCATTTTGTGACTGGGTTATCTCACACAGGATGGTTTCTTCTAGTTCCATCCATTTGCCTGCAAATTTCAAGATTCCATTGTTTTTTTCTGCTGAGTAGTACTCCATTGTATAAATGTACCACATTTTCTCAATCAATTCTTCAGTTGAGGGGCATCTAGGTTGCTTCCAGGTTCTGTTGGGGAGGCCAGTACAAGACTGATCCAGACCCCTGAACATGGATGTCAATAAGGAGGCCTCTGCACTCCAGGGAGCCTCTGGTGGTGGATTAGTATTTTCCTTGGTGCAATAAGGGAAGTTGAGAGCCCATACCTGGTGAAGGGTTACACTCTAGTCCTGGTCACATGGGGAAGGTCCCAGGACCAGCACAGGAAGATTTGGTGGACTTTGCAGAGCCCCCGTTGAGGGCCCTAGCCTGCCTGAGGAGAGGTGGGTGGATGGGGTAGGCGGTAGGCTGGTGGTTGGGGAGGAAGGATGGGGGTGAGGGCAGGGATAGGGAGAAGGGACTTACATGTGAAACAAGCTTGTTCCCTAACTAGAACTAATAAATAAATAGAAAAACAATCTATTAATGTATCGCACTCCAATGTAAGAAAATAATATGCATAATAATTTCCATAATTCTCAAGGTTTTGTGGTTTACACTAGTTGGTGTGTGATATCTTCACCTAATCTGTCTCTAGAGAAGAATGAGGCAACAGTATGTGGTGATGTTCCCCCAGATCTTCATGACTTTCTCTATTCTAACTGTAAGAGCTACATACAGTTAAAAAATGTTAGTTTCTTTCATAAAGCTAGACATTCTAGGGAAAGTGATGCCATATATTCAGAGAAAAGCACTAGATAATTCTTCTGCAGTCTTTCTCTGCACCCAATATCTTGTAGCATTGTTATTGGAACAAGAGAAAACTATGGTGTCTTTAAAATCTATCATGAACCGAATAGTATTTCTTTCTTAGTTTCTTCACAAATCTTAGTACCTTTGGAGCCCACAGTACTTGGGCCATATTCCATCACACCAGGGCGAGAGAGAGAAAGAGAAAGAGAGAGAGACAGAGAGAGAGAGGGGGCGCTAATCTCACAGAAGACATTCTCTTCATCTATAGTCAGATAGTCAGTTCCCTGATACACTATTTTTTTCTTTTTTATTACTAAGAAAACTATTTTACATGTCAATCCCAGGTCCCTCTCCCTCCACTGCCCCCCCAAAACAGGCTACCTATCCCATACTCTTTCTGCTCCCCATTTAGGGTGAGACCTCCCATAGGGGGTCTTCAAAGTCTGTCATATTCTTTGGGATAGTGACTAGGCTCACCCACTTGTGTCTAGACTCAGGGAATATACCTCTATGTGGGATGGACTCCTAAAGTCCATTCCTATGGTCCCGAAATGTACTGATCCAATACAAGAGGTTCATAGATTTCCAAGGTCTCCTCACTGATACCCACATTAGGGGGTCTAGATCAGTCCCATACTAGTTTCCCAGCTATCAGTGTGGGGACCAAGTTTTCCATTGTTCAGGTCAGCTGTTTCTGTTGGTTTCACCAGCATGGTATGGACCATTTGGCTCCTCAGTCCTCCTTCTCTGCATCTGGATTTCAGTTCAGTTCAAGGTTTAGCTGTAGGTGTCTGCCTCTACTTCCACCAGCTTCTGGATGAAGGCTATACAATGGCATATGAATTAGTCATCAATCTCATTATCAGAAGAGGGCATTTAAGGTAGCCTCTCCTCTGTTGCTTAGATTGTTAGTTGGTGTCATCTTTGTAGCTCTCCAGACATTTCCCTAGTGCCTGATTTCTCTTTGAATTTATAATGTCTCCCTCTATTATATTATCTCTATTTTACTCTCTTCTGTTCTTCCCCAAACTCCACCTCCCTGTCCCATCATGTCTTCCTCAACCCTTCTCTTCTCCCTTTCTCATTATCCTTCTCAGCGTTCAGGCTAAGATCAAGTTTAGTATCTGTTCTTATCAGTTTACTATCTGATACATCCTCTATCACTGATACTCTTGTGTGAATAATGAACTCAATTGTTTTTGAGGTGATGATTCCAAATACCTATAAACTTGGAATCACCTAAATTTTTGCTTTGCTTCTTTAGACCACATATGAAACTTTTGATGCTGTGCTAAGTGACAAAGATACATTCCCATGCCTGTACCAGATGTCTCCTAAAGACACAGCTCTGACCCAAGGGGTGATCTCTTTATTGCTGCCCTTTGTCTGGAACTGGGTGTGGCTCCTTGTGGCTGATGACCTGAAAGGAAAGGAGTTTCTCTCTGACCTGAAAGCAGAGATTGCATCAGAAGATATCTGTGTGGCTTATACAGAAAAACTCCCAACTAATTGCAAAATTCAGTTAATGTCTGGAGTTGGGTTGGTGAATTTGAAACAACATATGCAAGTAAATTTGTATATATTCTGTGTTGATACAGATGACTTGCTGATTTGCTACCTGGACAATAAAAATCATGTTAAGCAGAAGCAAGGTGTGGATCATGGCAAAGCCAAAATTAGTTAACTTAGAGTCTATATTATATGAGTGGAATGAATTGATGGTTTTAAAGGAAGCTTCTCATTTTCAAAGGAGAGAGATATCCCTGGCTTCAAACACTTTATTGAGACACTTACTCCCTACCTGTACCCAGGTGACATTTACTTCCATAAATTCTGGCTGGACAATTTTTAATTGTTCACTTCCTCCTTTGCTATTTGGAAATCACAAACGCTGTCCATGTATATGTCACAGTCACTAACTCTTACCTCTACATCAGACTGATAGGTGATCCTGGCTCTACCAAACCTCAGACAGTAATCTCAGACTGTAATCCCAGAGTGCAATCCCAGACTGCTATGTTCTCCTCGACATGGCTAGAGAAAGCTGAGACTGAATGTCTGCTCTGAGACCTTGGTCCCTGATGCTGGAATTAAAGATGTGTGGTTCCCATTGTTGGGATCAAAAGCATGAGCCCTGTTACTCTTCACTCTTGTGTAGGCCATGGTGGTCTTGAACTAACAGAGATCTGTCCACCTGAGTCCTAGGATTAGAGATGTGTACCACCACTGTCTGATCTCTATCACTTGCCGATGACTTTGCTTTCTGAATCAAAGGCAAGCATTGAAAATCATAAATAATATATCACCACATGATATTCCTTGCATATATTTTCTTAGGACTGACCATGTGGTATTGAATGACAGTTGATATGCTTTTCTCTGGGAAGAACATTACTCCTTCCATCTCTCAACATTTCTAAGTTATATTCTGTGTGGAATGAATATCTAGAGGTCATTCTACTGACCATTTTGGCAGGTCTTTGACTTTGTCCCCACTCAGTTTCACATGTTTAGGCAGACATGTTGGTAGGCATGGCTTTACCCTCTGATATTACTAGGAGACACAATCTCGAATAAAATTCCCTCAACCTCCATCCCCCAAACAAATGTTTCCTGGGTGTTAGGTTTGTGAATGGTTTTGCAGACATAGCCACTGGAGATACCCTCAACAACTCTGTTTTTTATTAGTCTGTAATGCTCTCATCTGTTGTGAAGAGAACTTTCCTTTCTGCTTGGGGGCTGGGGCAGTGAAGGCTAAAATTATCTGTAGGTATTGGGACAAATGTTTACAGATTGTTGTGGTGATAAATTGTTTATGATCTAATAAAGCTTGCCTGAAGATCAGAAAGCAAAGCTATCCACAGCCATAGAGACCAGGCAGTGATGGCACACATCTTCAATTGCAGAACTCAGGAGACAGAGGAAGATGTATCTCTGTGAGTTCAAACCACACATGGCTTGAGAAAGAGCACATACCTTTAATCACTTCACTAAAGAGGTGTATAAGAGAGGAACGGTGTCTGATTGTATTAATTCTTGGGCAATTGGCCTACAGCCACTTTGAGGACAGGATCTCCCCAACCTTTGTAGAGGTAACAGCTCTTTGGTAACTTAGCTGCTTTGATATTCTTGTTTTCATCTTGAACTGAAATAGCCATGTCTGAGTTTTTATTATTTGTGCTATAGATGGCTGTTAGGGAGTATGCTGGTTTAGTAAATTATTCTAATAATTTGTTGTAGATTCTCCTCCAATAACCATGACTTCAATAGCACTGAATACTGAGGTAACAGACAGAGGCATGCTTTCTTTTTGCTGACTGGTTTTTTATTCCCATACAGAGAGTTCTTAATCACCATCAAGGAATGCGAGTCTCTTCAACAACCCTAGTGAATACCACAAAAGAGAGTGTCTCATGTCTGGTACTGGGTTTATGTATATAGACTTGGTCTTGGAGGGAAAAGCATCAGCCCAGATGAGAATCATTTACTAAAACTATATGTATGAGTATAAGATAATTAATTGTACTTTAGGGTTGATTTAAGGTAAATTATAACATTATGATTATTTCAGGGCTTTTCAGACACTCTTATTGATATTTTACACACTTCCCTCCTCCTTCTGTATTTACTTCTCTTCAGCTTTCCTAAATCACCCCTCCCTGCTTTCCCTTCCGCATCACATATAATTTGTTCAGACATCCTTACTGTTACTTCACACTGGGCAATCCTTCAACTGTATTTATCTCCTTCTTACCTAGTTAATTGGAGTGTCTCTCTTTTGCATTTCTACCTATAGGTCATTTCTTCCATGCTATTCCACTCTATTTCTTCCTAAGTTCTTGCTGTGGTACTACTCATTTTTCTGTATTTTACAGTTTTTCACATGTACTAACCTGAAAATTTGGAATTAGAAACCTTAGATGAGAAAGAACATGTGACATTTGCCTTTCTGGGCTGATGTTTTGTAACTCAGTTTAATCTTTTCCAGTTCCATCCACATACCCAAAAAGTTTAAGATTTCAGTTTCTTATATGCCTGAATGATATTCTCTGGTGTGTATTTATCACAGTTTCATTTATCCACTTGTCAATTCTAGGTCACTTAGTTTTGTTTTGTTTTGTTTTTTTTCAGTTTCCTAAGTACTATAAACAAAACAGCATTGCACATGGAGAGCAAATACCTGTGAAGTAGGATGTGGAGTCCTGTGGACATATGCAAAGGAATGGTATAGCAGGGTCATATGGCAGATTTACTATTAGCTTATGATGAATTCACCATTATAAAGTGGCTGCACAAGTTCCAGTCCTGCTGTAAGTGAATGAGGGCTTCCTTTTCCTTTCTGTCAACTCAAGCGCATGTTGGCTGTTCTGTGGATCTCTGCTAATCTGATTGGGCAGAATGAAATCTACCTAATGCTGTTTTCATTCATCTAACCATAATTGCTAAGGTTGGTAAACTTTTTTGAAATATTTCTTAGCCATTTTCCCAATTGAAATACTCTTTTCAGGTTGCAGGACCATTTCTTATATAATAGGTCACTTTTTTAACTCTTGGTTTTTTCAGTTCTTTGTATATTCTGGATATTAATCCCCTGTCAGAAAATAATCTGGCAAAAACCCTCTCTCATTCTGAGGACTTCCTCTCAACACAGTTGATTGTTTCTTTGACTGTACAGAGAATTTTAGTTTCATGAACTCCTACTTGTCAACTGTTTGCTTTAATTCTTGGGTAAATGGAGTCCTATTCAGAAATTTTTTTCAGACATTTAGATCATGGAGGCGCTTGCCTATGTTTTTCTAACAGTGTTAGTGTTCTAAGTTTCTGGTTTAAGTCTCTGATTCAATTCAAGATGGAATTTGTGATTTTGCTAGTTATGGGTTTAATTTCACATTCTAATTGTGGGACTGCAGTTTTTCCAGCATGTCTTTATGATGCTTTCTACTCTCAATCTTATGTTTTTGTTGTCTTTGTTGAATATTAAATGACTGACCTAACATGTACTCATGTTTGTGTCTTGGATTTTGCTGAGGTGACATGTCTATTGGAGAAAGTGGGGCATTGGATTTGCCTGCTGTTAATGGATTGTTGTTAAACTGTGTCCTTAAATACAGTAGTACAATTTTTATGAAAATGGCTGCCCCACAATTGGGTGAACATAAGTTTAGAGTTGTAATGCCTTCTTGATTAAGTGTTCCTTTGACCAGCATGTATATTTTTATTTTTATTTTTCTAACTAATTTTACACTGAAGTCTATGTTGTCAATTGTTATGGTAGGGATGCATGCTTTCTTCCTGAACTTATGGGATTTGAGTACATATGTCCATGTTTTTATTCTATTATAGTATCTATTTTAAAATTTAGATGCTTCTTGTAGAAAACCTACATGGATTTTGCTTCTATGATCAACTCAGTTAGTCCATTTTTTAAATGATGAATTGAGGCCATTGATATTTAATGGTATTGTAGAAAATTATATCATTTGTGGTCATCATGCTGTTGAATTTAGAATTGTAATATTGTTCTCAGTGGTATTTTATATTCTATTAAATATGTTTTCTTATTTCTTTCTACCATCTCTATGCTATACCAATTGCTCTCCCCAGGCTAAAATATCACTTTCTTTAATTCTGGTTGGCTGGATATAATTTTGTAGACTAACAGGACTTGGCATTCTTCCCTCTAAGCTTTTCTGACACTCACAGATTCTATTAAGAAAAAAGATGATATTTTCTTTGATTTACGTGCGTGCGTGCTCGTGTGCGTGCGTGCGTGCGTGTGTGTGTGTGTGTGTGTGTGTGTGTGTGTGTGTGTGTGTGTGTTTTTGTGTGTGTGTGTGTGTGTTCTGGCTTTTCTCTTATAGCTCCCAATAAACTTTCTTGTTATGTTTTTAAGTTAAAATTAGAATTTTTGAAAATATTTATCTGTTTTAGTGTTTTAATTGATGAAAATCTGTGGAGATTTTCTTTTCTGGTCCTATCTATTGGTGTACTCTGTGCTTCTTTTATATATTTGGATATATGTTCCCTTAGTTTCAGGAAGACTTCTTCCATGAAATTCACCTTATTGAAAAATCGGTCTATGCCATTGACCTACAATTCTTCTGCATTTTCTAAGACAATAATTTAAAGGTTCAGTTTTCTCATCATGTCTAACATTTCCTTTCTTATTTTCAACTTTTCACATTTTTATATTTTATACTCTATTTTATCTCTATGTCCTAAATTTCTGACTTCTCTTTCTTCATTTGATATGTGTGTTTTTCCCTTGAGG